GCTCCTCCCACGAGACCTCGTCCCCGCCAAGTGCGCGGGAGCTTGGCGGTTCTGTGGTGGACGCCCCTGGGGTGGTACAGCCGTGGCTGTCCCTAGGAGGGGGAGGCGGCACGTGTGATGATGCTCGGCTCGGCTATGGGGATAGTGGTCTCTTAGCAGCTTGACTATCCTAAAACTTAAGATACAGATATCTTCAGTTTAAGGGACGCTTTAGTTGCCCTAGGTGCCTTAACTATATTCCTTTGCTTAGATGGAGGCTCCCACGGTGACTGGTCTGAGCAGTTTGGCTAGTGCTCCTCTCCCCCCTTCTGCCCTAAAGTAGTATTCCTGCATGTGTTTATGGCCTTCCCCCCCACCCCCCGTTGAGTTTGGGTGGGTAGGAAGCACATGGCACCAGTGACAGGACTGCCACTCTGCCATCAGTGCCTCTGCAGAAATGCCAGTACAGTGCATCTGCTTTGTCATCGGCATCCTGGATTTTTGAAAAACATCTTGTACTTTTTCTTTGCTAATTGGCAGAGCTTTTATAATTAGTCAGGAACTGTGGTTTTAGGTAAATGTTTGGGAAATAGAACCATACCTGCCCTTACTGTGGGTGAACATGTAGTTTAGCCATGAGGCAGAAGAAACACTTTTTATTGTAAGCTTAGTGTTGGCAAAATGTGTCATCTTCACCACAATCAAAAATGGAATGCTGAATATGTGCTATCGAGGCAGATAGAAAGAAAAAGGGTACAGACAGTGGATGCTTTGAGGTTTCTACCTAACTTCATACTGGAAATACTATATCTGGAGTTACCAGAGTGCTTTATCCTTCATGTCCATCACTACTCTTTAATTCAGAGCATTAATACAGCTACGTGTGGTCTATCTGTATCAGTGCTCGAGCTGGATATAGTACTTTTGGAAAGGAGGCTAAAAATGCTTAACGTGAAAGGAGATTTTTCTCGTGTGAAGCTTAGAATGAGGGAGGCTGTTTTACACAGACCCCTGAAAAGATACTTAGACATGGGTGACTTGGACGCTGTTGACCAAGGCTTAAAATGGGCCAGTGGTGTCTAAATAATGGACACTGTACTTTACTTTCAGTATTCTGAGCTACCTAGCACCTTAGGTGCTGTAGTTGCAGATATTAATGTTAGGGTAATTTACAATCAGCCTAACAGGCTGAACATGAGCTCCCTGTTAGGATTTTTTGGCTAAGTAAAACCTGTGAGGCAATGTTATCTCTATATATGGCAATAATAAGCCATTACTGGACTACAGTTCTGGTGTCTGTGCATGAAAAGTGATGCTGACAAATTGGAAAGGGTTCAAAAAAAGCTGCAGAAATAATTAGACATCTGGAAACTGGATTGTATGGAGTGAGGTAAACCAAATAGGTTGAGCTGCTTATCAGGAACTGTCAAGAAGTGCTTGTATCAGATTATAACTATCCATGCAAGGAGAACAAAGCAGATCATTAGCAGACAGGGGTAAAGCAAGATTCAGTGATTGGAATTTGAAACTGGATGTTCTCAGATTGCAAATAAGGCACATTCTTTAGTATACAAATATAGCTGAAGAGTATAGAATTGATTATGTCTCTTCAAAATTTGTAAAATCTAAAAGCTGTAATCAAATATTAGGTAGGAAATAAAGGTGTTACATGGAAGGCCGGACCGGAGATTTTATTAATATCCTTTGAGGTCACATGTGAATGGCATCACTAAATCATAGAATGGTTTAGGTTGGAAGGGACCTTAAAGATCATCTAGTTCCAACCTCCCTGCCATGGGCAGAGACACATTCCACTAGACCAGGTTGCTCAAAGCCCCATCCAAACTGGCCTTGAACACTTCCAGGGATGGAGTCTCCACAACTTCCCTGGGCAACCTGTTCCAGTGCCTCATCATCCTCACAGTGAAACATTTCATCCTTATGTCTAATCTAAATCTACCTTCTTCCAGGTTGAAGCCATTCCCCCTTGTCATATCACTACATGCCCTTGCAAAGAGTCCCTCCTCATCTTTCTTGTAGGCCCCCTTCAGATACTGGAAGGCTGCTATATGGTCTCCCCGGAGCCTTCTCTTCTCCAGGCTGAACAGCACCAACTCTCTCAGCCTGTCTTTATAGGAGAGGAGCTCCAGCCCTCTGATCATCTTCATGGCCCTCCTCTGGACCTGCTTCAACAGGTCCATGTCCTTCTTGTGCTGAGGACTCCAAAGATGGATGCAGTACAGGGGTGGGGTGACAAGAGAGCAGAGTAGAGGGGCAGAATCACCTCCCTCGACCTGCTGGCCACACTTCTGATGCAGCCCAGGATACAGTTGGCTTTCTGGGCTGCGATTGCACATTGCTGGCTCATGTTGAGCTTCTCATCCACCAACACTCCAAGTCCTTCTCCTCAGGGCTGTTCTAAATCCATTCATAGACATGCTGTGATTCTTTAACCTTTACAAATCTGCTGGCTGCAGGGGTATTACCCATCTGAATGAATTTTAGAAAGGCAAATTTATCTGGTGCATGTAGAAATGACTATGTATGCTTTTGGAAATTTGTTTTTAAATGGTTTTCCTTTCTTGGGTGTTGTGTTTCTCCATTGTTTGCTTCTGCAGAGTTTGTTCTATGCACAGGTGTGCTGAGAGTGCTTAAGAGGACTGATTAGTATCAGCTGACACAACACATGGTTTGGTATCCTATGATATTGGGCTGTTACTTGGCCACGTAGACCTTCAATTTAATACCTGGCCACAGCTAAAGCTGCTTTTTAGTATTACTGTAACAGTGTTTTAAATGCAAAAAAAAAAAGGGGGGGGGCGGGGGCGGGGATAACATGTTATTTGCTCAATCCTGTGACCTGCAAAATGAAAATAAAAATATATTCTACTACATCAAATTGTAGCTAATATGTATACAACAAACATTTCAAAGTTTAGAATGTATATGATGAATAGTTTCAAATAAAGAAATTTGTTCTTTGGTAAATAACAAAATACATGCTGCAGAAAGATCAGATAACTGTACTCTGGATTCTTTCCCAGGTTCTTCCTTTGTCTACCAGTGTATTTGGTCTAGTTATTCACTGTTGAAATCAATGAGTGCATAGCATTGATAATAGCTGGAACAAGTCTGAATGTAGTATTTGAGCAACAAGAAATCTTAATTTTATGAATTCTTACACCTATTTAATGTAAAGCAGATATGTGCATCTTAAGTTGTATGGAACTAGTAGTTCAAGGTTAAGGGTAATTTTATGGTTTTTTTGTAAGTTTGGACCTTGGACCATGAAAGTGATAATGGTTGAATATTATTTCAAAATGTTATATTGTATAGTTCATTATGATGACTTAGTGTTTTGCAGTATAGATCCATTTTAATAGAAAGAATTTGCCTTGACTCATTTTTCTTTTATTTTTCAGGAAAAGAAATGGAGCAAGTTCAGTTAACTATCCAGTTTAATGTCTTACTGATGTTTTAAGGAATCTTACAAATGCTTACTTTGAATTGAGAAAATGACTGCAGATATAGAAGAAAATACAGGTTGTTGGAAAAAAATACCTGTCAAAAAGTGAAACATCCAATAGTTAATTTGGAAGTAGTATAAAATACATACATCTGTTATGGTGCTATTCTGGAGTGGAGTTAACTCTATAGCACACAGGTAGCCCTCCAAGGAGGGGGGGGGGGGAAGCAGTTTTCTGTTTTTCTAAATTATGGATTTTTTTTGGAAGATGTGGACATGGATTTTGAGCCTAGTCATGGTTTCATCGGAATTTCACAGTGACAACAGGCTTTCATATAGTTCTCAAGGTAGGGGTCAGACCTCTGTAGCTGTCAAGAAGTATCAATTTTTGCATTGCATTTGGGTAAAATTTTCTAAACCGCGTTTATATAGCTCATGACATCATATGGGCTCTGCTCTTATTTTTATCATGATTCATTGTCATGGAAGTTTAAATACAGCAAATCTGATTAAATTGTTTTAATTTGGTTTTGTCTATTTTTAACTGTAGGAAAGCCTTGCAAATTAAATCTAGTAAAATGTACTTGTTATGGCAATTCTCTAAACTATATCATCATTAACGTGTTTTTAACTAGGAAGTAAGAATCTAATCTTACTTTGATCCATTAACATTTATAGGTTTTTAATGAAATAAAGAGCAGTTTACATGTTTTTACAATATAATACTTTTCATTACTACTGTTTTTATTCTTGCAGGTGGATCTAATAGCTTTTGTCTTTGAATGGTATCACTGGGAAGAATATGTCCCTCTTAGGTAGAATTTAGCCCCAAATGTTTACATATTTAGGGTAAATAGGAAAATTGTATGTAATTAAAAACTTTTGTATTTCCAGTGACATCAGGTTAATAGAAAACTGAATGTTTTCTTGACTTAAAAAGAAAAGAGTGTTTTCTTCTATTTAGTAAAACTCTCCATCTTGCTTTTACCTGAAAATGACTTGCTCATGAGGGTGATGAGATTTAGCCAAATATGGTTTATGTTTATACTACTACTTGTTGTTTCCTGTTATATTTTCTTCTCTTCTATGCCCACTCCCTGGATTGTCTTACCTTGTGATTACAAAGAGGAATTCCTGTCTTACCTTGAACACTACCAACTAACAATCCCAATAAGGGTTGATCAAAATGGAGCCTTCCTCAGCTTTACTGTGAAAAATGCTAAACCGTCAAGAAGGAGGAGGAGTACAGACCCTTATAACCAAGAACTGGCATCATCTAAATTATTTTTTAAACTTTCTGCCTATGGCAAGCACTTTCATTTAAACCTGACTCTCAACACAGATTTGGTGTCTAGACATTTTACAGTAGAATACTGGGGGAAAGATGGACCTCAGTGGAAGCACGATTTTTTAGACCACTGTCATTACACAGGATATTTGCAAGACCAACACAGTACAACTAAAGTGGCCTTAAGCAACTGCAATGGTCTGGTAAGTGCACATTACATGTTCTAGTATAATAGTGTGCTTGTCCCTTTCTAAATTACAGAAGAATTACTTAATTGGCATATCTTTCAGCTTTTTGAGTCCCTGCGAGAAGCAAGTGGATGGGAAGGTGCAACCCCCCCCTAAAACCTGGTCTGTGTCCTGGGAAAAAGTTTTTCAAGATTAATTTTAACTACTAAGGCCTAATTCTGTAGTCCTTCAGCAGGCAACATTTTCAGTGTTTACAGTGTCTGCGCTAAGGGTGCAAGATTAGGTCTTTGCCGAGATCATTACAGGTTATGAAAATGTTACAAACTCAAGGATTGGGAGGAAAATAGTGGGTCCTTTATGATGCTGAATCTCTCCGGAGAGACATTGATTGAACTGAATACCTGCTTCTTGTTTTTGAGAATTTGGGTTTAGAAAAAACTTTGAGTAAATAACAGAGAAGAGGAAGTGCTTGGTGTAGAAGTCATCATTACCATAAATTCAAAGAGTGAAGAGGATAGTAGATCCTTTGCAAGTACCAGCATCAGAAAGTAATTATTTACCTTATTTTAGAAATACCTTGTTTACAAATCATAAACAGTTGCATTTAAAAGTAGGATTAGAAATTTTCTCTTATTTGACTGTTGATCACATGACAGTAGTACTTGCATAGGGAAAAAGCTGTTTTTATTCCCAACAGAAATTTAAAAAACAAATGCAAAAAAATTAAAAACCAAACTATTGAGTAACAAAACACTAAAATAGAAGGGTATGACTAGAAAATACTAAACCAAGAGCCTAGTAATTTCTCTAGTAAAAATATATGTATATATTGTGGTTATTCATTCTGGTTTTAATTATAGTAGAACACTGTTCAATCTCCTTGTTAGGAGTAGACAGATTTAACTAATTGCCAAAGGGGGGGGAAAAAGAATGATTACACAGACTTGCTAAACTAATTCCTATTTGTCCTTGGAAGTGCTATTGAATAATGCATTTTGGTATGTTATTTACAAACAAGAGCCTGCTGCTTCAGACGTAGATAGGATGCATTATACCCAGCTATTTGTGCTGTCCCTGATACAGTCTAGGTTAACATTTTGTAGTACTCTTGAGGAAAAATAATTTAATGGGAATTTCCAGGGCTAAGTGACACTTTCGAAGAAATGTAGTTAAAATGGTATTCCATTGAGTGTTGTATCACAGTTTGGTTAATGCAGATGTGCAGTTGATAGGTCTGAATGTAGTACAATTTTCATTTTGGTTTTGCAGTTCCTATGTAATAACACTTTTGTCACAGTTATTTAAGCTTTTTAATATACTAGATCATTTTGCTTTAGAGTTCTTTTCAGCTAAAAATACTATGGAGAGCAAATCCCCACTTTCAGGACTCACTTGTTTAAAAGAGGCTGCATACCTCTATATCTCCAAAATTTCTGCTGGTTGAGGCACAGACAGGTTGGCCCCCTTGGAGCTTGCAGTCCATGCCACGATGCTTCTATTTCGGTTCTTCTCTGACCTTGGCCAGGGAGTGAGCCAAGAACAACTGCTCTTGCCTTAGCTGACTCTTGTTTTCCTTTCATGTTAGGAAAACAAAAGTGGGATGAAGCAGGAAAAAGTCCATGTTTTCCTGTCATCTTTCCCCATCTCTTGCTCCTCGTGGTGCTTGTTTTCTTTAAATAATTTAGCAACATGGTAGGTGTCACTTCTAAATGAAGCCCTCTTGAGGTGAAGCAAATTTTTTTTTTTTTTGGGGGGTGGTGGTGGTTTTTTTTTTGGTTTTGTTTCTGTGCCTCAGTGACTTTTAGCACTCCTATTGCTGTGTGTTTTCCCTCTGCACTCAGCCTCGCTGTTTTGCTGGAGTGAAGCTGTCTGTTGTTGTTCAGGGTGTCAGTATGTTAACTTTAGTGTGGAGTGCTTCCCAGTTAAATAGTCATCTTTAGTTCTTTTAGCTGTTGGCAGCTCTGCAGTATTTATTCCAGGTATTCCTGGTCTGTATTAAGGCAGCCTCGGTTCTCTGGGCACACCATGACTAGCACTATCGAATTTTTCTTGGTCATGCCTCTTACTTGGGACTGCAAGTGTCAGGTGTCTGCTGCATCTCCTAGAATGGCCAGTCACAAGTATGTGAGGCTTCTGTCATGTTCCGGAAGCGGCAGCAGGGGTGACACAGGGCTCTTTCTCGGAGAGGCAGGGATCCTGCAAAGGAGTTCAGTGGTAGACTGTACTCAATATCATCCTCTACTGCACAGAAAATTCCTCTGTCATACAGTGTTTGCAGGGCCTTCCAGAACACTGAGTATAAGAGTTACAACTCCATTCAGATAAATCCATCACAGTTATTTTTAAATGATGATTCCTACTGACAAATATTTTGTTATATAGCTGCTGGTTAGAGAACATGTTTAATAAAGCAATTGGCAGTGAATATTGAAGACACTATTACTTGTTTTAGAATTAGCGATAGATCAGAATGTCATGCTCGAGACACTTGTATTTTCCAGTCTGATTATTGGTCTGTAAGAGACTGCCAGTCATATTCTGTGTAGTCCTTGATTAACATCTGTCCCAGAACCAGTCATTTTAAGTTGTCAATAACTCTAAAACAAGTAGTAGCCTTTAGCACGAGTGTTGCTCGCAAGCAAAATTTAAGCATTCCATTTATACCGATTGTCCAGTTAGACTTCACTATTGCCAAATCTCATCCCCTTAGTGAATGTTTTGAGTTATTCTGTTTAGTTATTCAGGGTGGGCAGGTGAGGTCATGGTTTAATTAACATAAGTTGTATGACTATGAAGAACACTTGTAGTGTAGAGTTCTAGCGCAAGAAGAGCTTTCTCTCAGTTTCGTTATAGTAAGTGATCAGCAGTCAGTTCATTTCCCTGTCACTATTTCCTGTTTCAGCCTCTCCCTCTATATTTCTTATTACCAAGTGCCTCAAAATTACAGGCTGCTACTTACTGAAGTTCCATTCCAGCAGTTTCCATATGCTGGGCCCTGATTGTGCTATATAAATTGTCTGAAGTTATGAGGAAAGCTCTATAATCCAGTGAGCAGTCATGTGAGGAAATTGAAGGTCTTGTCTGGCAGGCTTTCAGGCTTCCAAACTCATATTTATTTTAGTGGATGTTACATTTGTAGATGGATTGCAGGTTTGGCCTTCTCATGAAAGAGCCTGCAAAGAGCAGTATTTTGGGGCCTTTGAATGTTGGGTGCAAGGCAACAAGGCTGAAGCGGAAGTCACTGAGGCAGTCTCAGCTGAGCATGTCATACTGAAGGAAAGAAGAGAAGAAACAGTGGTAGACTGGCTGAAGAGAGAAATTCACCTCAAGGGAAAGAAATTTGTTTAATTCTGAGGGGAGCAAGTCTTAAAGAAGAAAAGTTTTGGGGCTCATAGTAGTGGAATTGAGCAGAAACCAACCTTTTTGTATTCTGACCCACCTCTGTTGTCTACCAGGTGTCCAAGCCCTTAACTGAGTGCTCAAACAAGTTTTCTGCAGTAGCAGATTTTCTCATTTTGAGCTGAAAAGCCCAGTAGTGGGAAACACTTTAAAACATGTAGAAAGTGATTATTATTAGGAAAGTGAATCAGAGGTTAAATTTGTATTTTGGGGCTACTATGGTTCCAAGGCAATATTTAAAGTAAAATGTAAAATGCCAAGTATTTCCATGGCATGTGAAGTTCCATGCACTGAGTAACGTTTGTGCTAAGTACCACAGATGTTTCCATCCAAACAGAAATTTTAAAAAAAGCCCGAGAAGTACACTTTGGCTAAAAGCATGACCCTACTTGGTTAAAGGAAGAATTATTTTGCTGGAAGACTTTATGTTTGTTTCATGTATTCCTAAATTCATATGCGTATAAATTATTCATTTGAAAGCTGATTCTACCATAAAGAGCGTATCTACTTTTGTAGATCATAAATTGCATATAGTATGGTATTTCTGAATCATATGTAAAATAATGTATAACTTAGAAAAATCAGAAATTATATTGAAAGAGATTTAGTATTCTAGATTGGTGTCTTTGGATTTCTTTGGTACTAATATGTATTTGCAGTGTAGACTTAGTATTCAGAAAATTATATATAAAGCTGTCCCTTTCCTACTTTTAAGATGTCTTGTTAGATTCCATGATGTACTGTTCCAGGCCAAATCATTATTTTCTTAATATTTGAGAACACACTAAGCTAATTCAGTCTGTTCCCTCAGTCATAAAACCACACTGAAGTGTAGGTAGAGCCAGCTGTAGACATACTGGCATAGACATAGATAAGTCAAAAGTGTGTTTTAGAAAGTTGGTTCAGATATAATAGCATAATTTCCACTATTAATCAGGCATTGCTGAATGCATATACAATGGAAGCATCTCTAGCCACGTGAATTTTCTAAACTCCTAATTAGAATAAATGGTAGTCGTCACTGAAATAGATATATCTTATCTACAGAATTTGGAGTGCTTCTTAAAAATTACTTCAACAAGACCACCTGCATCAGTTTAATATTGGAAGAACAGTTTTGTTTGCAAGCAAAATTAATATATGTTAGGTTTAAAATGGTGTGTATATATGCAGGGCTTATGTGAAAGGCACATGCAGGGAAAGTTGAGTTTCCAGTGTTTATCAAATCACTTGGCTAGCTGCAGCAGCTGACTGCATGTATATTCTGACTACCTGGTGGCAGGTGTGAGTTAAAATTTATTTGCAGTTCCTCAACTAAATGTTATTAAAATCTCTTTTAAACCATCATAGTGTTTGGGCAGATGAGATCGTATGTCGACTAGACATAGGAAAAATTGGTGATGCTCTCCTAACTTTTTTTCCACTTTGGGTACCTGAAAGAACTATGATGATAGTTTGCAGACATTCATAATTGTTATTTTATATGCAACTTGTTTAGAGAATTAATGCTGCAATTTAGAGCTTGACGATGGTGATGAAAGGGTTGAGTGTTTATGGGTAAGAATCAGGGGAAAGGCTGACAAGGCAGACCACCCAACCAGGATGAAGAGACAGAT